TCCTATCTGAATCTGGTCCATTACACCAGGTGGCAGACCTCCAGGCTTTAGGTGCAGCACAGGACTGAAGCACAGTCCTCATCCAGGAAGACTTTGGGTCTGTGCTCAGGCTCCACTGCCAGTGTCAACACAGATTGGAATATTCACCCAAAAGCACTGTGGAGGACAAGGTCACACAGGAAATACATGCATGATGTAAAATCTGGAGAGCTGAAAAAACTACTCTGAACTGAAACAGTAAAGAGAAGGAACACAGTCCACTAAAAAAGAATTACTCAAGAAGGAAGCAAACACACGGGCAAAGATATTCATCACAGGTGGCTACTAATAAACACAAGTGAACAAAACACCCCAAGTATCCAACAAAAATGTGTCTAAAATATTATGGCATTAGGCTATATTCATAAATACAATGGAACACATTAGAAATGAAAATGAAGGAAAGCAAGAGACTGGGTGCCTTTTTCCAGATGGGCTGCTGTCTACTCTGTGGATCTGCTGATCTGTCCCTGAGCCTTCCATAGCAATGAAAGGAGAATGGAAGGGGTTAGAAGACAGAGAGAGGCAGCACTGCAGCATCCTGGCTTCCTGCTGCATGCATTTCCTACAGACCCAGTGGACAGCAGCAGAGGCACTGACTTTAAACTCTCCTGCTAGCTCACCACCCAATCAGGCTGCCTATTGGGTAAGAAGAGCCCAGCAGCAAGTGGCAAGCCAGAGCTGGACCACCTGCTGCAGGGAAGGTCCAGCAGAGCCCTCTGAAGAACCTGCATCTGCTACCAAGAGGGCACAGTGGCCAGGAAAAACTGAAAGAGCACTGGCAATGATCAGAGTAGGTCAGCCCATAGGTGGGAAATGGGAATCTGACAAGCCACAGGTGGACCAAGTCACTAGCTCTACACCTATACTCCCATTGAGCTGAGACTTCTCCATAAATCTATGTCTTTCCAAAGTCCAGACCTCACAGATCACCTGAGATGGGTCAATCCTTATGGACACTAAGCTACTACTCACCAAGATCAGCCGAATCCAGGGTGACTTACAGGGAATTATGGGCCATATCAGAGTTAGGAATACTGTGAGTTGGTCCACCTGTGAATCAAGATCTCTGGGTCCTGATTCAGGGCTGAGCCCCTGTGAAAGGATCCTCACTGCCTATGACTGACAAGGACAATTGCAACACCTTGAGTCACTGGGGGAAGCGCATGGTGACACTGTTGTGGACTGGGCAGAAGGATGTTTTGAAGAGGACTGGATAGACCAGCACGTCTCTTACCCTCATGCCCGCTCTGTAGCCATGTACTTGAATTGTACCTGGGTAATGAGCAATGGAGAAAGATGCCTACCGGCCACGGGGAAGAGGCCAAGGCTTAAAGTACACCCCTGACCCACTTAGTTTCCACTTGCTCCCATAAATTACCAAAAACCAATCTTTACTTTTATAACTCTAGAGGTCAGAAATATGAGAAGAGTTTTTACAGGACTAAGATCAAGTTGTCACCAGGGCGAGTTACTTCTGAAGACTCCAGGGCAGAATCCATTCCTTGCCTTTTCCAGCCTCTCGAGGTTGCCAGCATTCCTTGGCTCCTGATCATCTTATTTCAGTTTCTGGTTTCTGTGGTAGCATCTTCTACCTCCTCTGCTCTGTCTTGTCCTGTGCCCCTCTTACAAGAACTGTTGTGATTAAATAACCCAGGATAACATCGCCAACCTCAAGATCCTCAATCATATTGGCAACATCTTTTTTGCCATATAAGGGAACATTTATGGATTCTAGGGATCAGCCTATCACACATCCCAAAGGCTTCCAGCCTCTCTTCACCACAATTCCACTTATATTCTAGTGATCAAACTGGCAAGAACCACATGAGCATCCATCCACAATCATGCTAGAGCCCATCTACCTCTGAGCTGGCCTCCAGCCTCACAATCAGAAACAAAATGAGACACCAGTCTGTCTCACACATAAGCATTCACAAGACCCAGGAGGCAGATCTGATCTAATTCAGATACTGCTTATATAGGTCATGTCCTGACAGTCCGATCCCTCCCCGTCTTTCACCCACCTTTCAAAACAGTCACCTTGAGACACTTTTTCTAGTAGGTGTCCAGGAACTTGGGAGGTGGTGGTGGTCAAAGTTTCATCACCTTTCAGAAGAAGATGTCTCACCCAAGAGGTGGGGTGACAGGGTCTTCCAGAGAACCCAAGTAGTACAGCTCCTCTCCAGAGGAAAATACGGCAGGACCACTCAGGCATTCATGAAGCCACCCTGACATGACTGTCTGGAGAGATGACAGCAAGTTTATGTGACCAAAGTCAAAACCATTTCTAGACGAACCTGCCAGAGAGCTGAGAATCTATCTTATGATTACTCACTTAGCAGACAGAGAATACTATGTATTCTTCCAGGCAAGATCAAAAAGGAACAAGCTGTAATGTATGACAGAGTACACACAAGGTTCACCCTCAAGGTGTTGGGAGAAAATCCGAAAAGCTCTCAAGTACATTAGGCTGGAAGAGAGAGCTGGAGCAGCAGCTGCTGGCTCCCTGGGAAGACCAAGTCCCTAAGGAAAGGCCCTTAGCAACAAAAGGCTTCCAGGGCTTGTGAAACAGGAAGAAGAGGGGCCTTGCCTGCTGTCTGGGAGAGGAGAGCAGTGAATGGTCAAGAAGGAGCAGGAAAGGCAAGGTTGTTTGAAGCCTCATGCCTTGTTCTGCGTCTATCAATCACTGCCAGCGAATGTCAGTGTAAGTGTTCGCTGATTTAACGAGGAAAATCTTACTTTTAGTAATTAGCCGGAACATTCATCCTCCTGGAAGCTAAGACTCACCATCTATTAGGCTTCTACCAACCACTCGGTGGCAGGACTTAGGAGGCCAGGGAGATACCCACACCTGAAGCCCCACACAACACCAAACTCACAAGATCCTTCAGAGGGGTAGCTTCATATTAAACCCCAGCTGAACTTAGGGGAAAAACCAGGGAGCAGCGCTGGCCACACTTGCGCACACCTGCAAGAACCTCCTTGCGATGCCCAAGCGCCAGGTCCCAGCCTTGGCAGCATCCCTTCTTCTCACCGCATGCCTCATGAGCGCCCCCTACAGTCCCACCACAGAAAACACAGGCACCCTGTCACTCATCCTTAATGTTAATCTGCAGCAGCAGCCACAGACTTGATGTTTACTGTGAATTTATTATGTGCCAAGCACTGCATTGTTTTTTCACTTTTCCCTGCTTCATAATGTTTTAGCTCCTCCAAACAATTGTGAAGGAGATACTAATATTGCCGCCTCTCTACAGATATGGAGCAGAAGTAGGTGGCAGTGAGGTTTGGGTGACATGGTACTGAGGTGGGGAGTCTGGGATTCAAACATGAAAAGTAAGGATGATGGAGATCACTGCTCCGAAGTCTCCTTTTAGGATCTGAAACAGCACCACCACAGACACACAGATATGGAAAAATCTGAAGAGGTCCGTGAGTGATTCAAGCTGGGCAAACGCTGCCCTTGGCCAAAGGTCAACAGACTGCCTCAAAGCACATTTAAATTTTATAGAGTGAAAGAAAGCAAAATGACACTCTGGGCCGTACAGGCTTAGCCCCATTTGACCAGGAACAAACCTCTGATGCTCTTGCCTCAGCCCCTCTGACGGGACAGAAAAATAAGCCCACACGCTTTTACCCCAATACCCCATCTTGCCAGTAAATGAATGAGAAGGTCACTCTAAAAATACTTGGCTTTTATTGTAACAAAAGATAGCTACTAAAATGTGACTCTTCGGGAAGCACCAATAAAATGGGACATCGAGAAAGAAGATGTTCCTTGCTAAGCAGTTCTGTGAGTCACAGAAATCATGTGGCATTGGAGCAGAAAGAAGCCTCCGAAGCACGAAGTCTAGAAGAGTGAAATGTGAGGCTGCAAAGTCTGATTAACTTATCCTCGTGCATCAGGCTTCTTTCCCAGGCCTTCAGTGCCAGGCCCTCCGCTAGGTCCTGAGGGAGTAGAGGCCAGCAAGCCATGTGCCTGAGAAGTTACATCTTCGGGAAGGGACTGTCTTGTTCTAATTCATACAAGTCACTGCATGAGGCAGCAGCAGCCCTCAGGACACGGGATCAACCCAAATATGCTCTGCTCTTTCAATCTGGGGCCACACACTTGGCTGAATCTAGGCTGCAAACATTTGTCTGGCTTTCATTACTTTGTAAACTAGGAGACTTTATAAGAAAGCTGGATGATCCAGCCATCTTGAAAAGTAAAATCCATCAATCCTGGGCTTGCATTCCCACTTAGAGCAAAGATGAGCTAGAAGTGAGGAGAGACAGCACTTAATGGTGCTGGAAATGGAACCAGGAATGCTAGGAACTGCTCCACTCCTTTGCTACATCCCAAGCCCTGGCCCAGAAAATGCCTTTGGAAGGTCGAACACGTATTCTCAGTTTGCAGGTCTACCACTCTCTGTGGTCTCTCAGGCAACACAAGCCTCGCTCCTTGGTCTGAGTCTGCCTACAAGGCCAATAACAATGCCATGCAGGAGCTTACTCAGTGCTCCTAAGTTGAATGAACAAGACAGGAATCTAAAGAGAGGCCTGCAAAAGCAGTGGGGTGTGTTTTGACCGAAGCAAATGAATGCTTATGCAATGGCAGAACCAGCACAAGAACCTGGCTCTACCCATTCCTCTCATCTCGGTCTCCAGCAGTAAGGCCACCAATGGGCACTCAGAGACAGACATTCTAGTCCACAAGACAGGTTCTACCACAGCTTCAGTCTATCAGGGCTGCATGCCACGCCATCCACAGAGGGAGCAAGGCCCTGCTAAGAAGGATCTAAAGACAGCCCAAGGTGTTACAGCTAAACTCATCAGAAATACCATAGGCTGGAGGCAAGAGAAAAGTCCAGTTGTCTGGTATAGCATCAACACTGTGTGACTGTGCTACATCCACGTGGTCCAGAATAACAGTCCTGAGTAAACAGCAGAATGCCCACCCCACCCCACTCTGTTACCTGCAGGACAGCAGAATGCATGAAGATCACCCACACCAGCAGCCGCCTGGGGCTCCTCCAGGAAGCCATGGAGCCCAGCCTCCTCAGGGGAGCTCACAGCCTACAAAAAAAAAAAAAAAAAAAAAAAAAAGGAAACAGTGGCTTTTCAACTAGCTCTGGCCCTGATGCACATGGGAGGAGGGAGGGACCCTGAAGCCCAGATAACTATCCTCTAGGGGAGATCTTGCTGGTGCTGGATGGCTGCCTACCTGGGACAGAGCAATCTGCCCTCCCTTAGGATGGGTCCCCATCAAGGCTGGGAAGGGCTCAGCCTGCCTCCGTGGGCACTGCTCTGTGGCAGCACCACCTCCCATCCCCAGAAGCCAGAACATGGCTGCCCTGGCGGCCTTGTGGCCCATCTGTCAGCACCAGGGTGTGGCTACTGGCATGTGACACAGGAAGTCTTCAGAGAGCCAAGGGCTGGGGCACCTGCCAGCTCCTGCTCCTTGAGGCAAAAATAAGTCTGAAACCAACTAAACTAGTCCAGGAAAGGAAAGGACCTGCCTAAGGTCACACAGCAAGAGTGACATTCTAGGACTAGAAGGCAGGCCTTCTCCCATTAGATGAGACCAGGTGCCACCTGGGTCCAGATCTGCAGCTCCCAAAGCTGAGGTAAGGAAGGGAGGTTTGGAAGGTGAAGGGCCCAGCCGGCCCAGCACAGTCTCCTAAAAGTAGGCAAGGACAGACCAGCAGATCTTAGCAGAGACTCGCAGGGAAATCAGAATGAGCCGAGACTGGAAAAGCCGAGGTCACCCTCGACTCTCGCCTCGCCTCGCGGGCGCCTTGGCGGAGTCGGTGTCCGGGGGCGGGTCGGTGGCTTCGATCCATCTGGAGAAGGCATTAAGGGCCTGGCCTAATGCGATCCGCAAATGTGCTGCTGTTTCCGACCCGGGGCGGCGACTCTGGGGCGAGGGAGGCGGCCAAGGCTGGGCTGGGGCCGTGCGCCCCCGTCATGCGCTCTCACCCGCGCACCCCGCGACTCCGCGCTGCCCGGCGCTCCACGTCCACCTTCAGGATGCGCGTCCTCCCTGTCCTGTGCGCCCCACCGAGGCGACCGGCTGACCACGGTCGCCTTCCATAGACTTACCCCATTCCGAAACCCGCAAGGCTGCGGAGTACCCCGGAGTCGAGCGCGGCTCCACCCACAGGGAACCCGAAAGAGTGTCCGCGAACGGCCCGAAGTGTCCGGTCCCCGGGGCGGCGTGCTGCGAAGCCCCACCTCGCTCAGAGCCCACAGCCCCAGGCGAGACCACGGCCAGGCGCCCCTCCGCCGGCTCCGGGCTCCGCCCCGCGCACCCACCTGGCGTCCACACGCGCACGCGGGGCTCCGTGCGCCGGGCAGCGGCCACCTCGGTGCGGACCCGGCCCGGCCCGGCCCGACGCGCCTGCAGCCCGCGGCCGCCGAGTGTTGCCGGCTAGGGCGGCCGCCGCGCTGTCCCGCCCCTCGGGCGCGCCGAGCTCGCTGGCCCGGGCCCAGGGCGGAGGGCGCGCGCCGCCACCTGCCGCCCGCGGGCGCGACCGAGCGGGCCGGGGACGCGCCTCCGCCCGCTGCCTGGAAGCCGCTCGGCCAGGGGCCAGCAACCGAACCGCCGCCCTGCCCGTCCCAGGAGCTCGCCCAGAGCCTCGGGCCGCGTCCTGGGGCGTTAAGCCAGCGGACCCCAGAGGACACTGGCCGCCTGCGCGTCGCGCTCCTCAGCCCGGGTTCCAGGCAGCGCGAACGCGGGCGGTGCGTCAAGGGACACCTGGCACCGCGGGGCACGTGCAGAGGGCTTGGGGAGCCGAGGATCGCGTCGGCAGGGACGGCTCAGTGCCCAAACCTGGGGCTGGCAGTGAAGGGACAGTGTCAGGGGCAGAGGACTGGGCGAAGTACCTCGGGGAGCTCTGGAGCACAGGGAAGCAGGGAAGTGAGACTTAACCTTGGCCTTCTGAACCTGGGGCCAGGGGAGTCCTGGTGGAGTCTCGGCATTGCGCCTCCAAATTTTCAGTGGCACCACGCCCAGGGCTTCCTGGTGCTCTTGCTGCTTTGGCTTCCTGGGTCTCAACTCATGGCAGTGGTTAGTAGCACTGTGCCGTCACCCAGGAGAAATCTGAGGCTCCTTGGGGGATAAATAACTTGTCCGGGGTGAGTGGAGAAGCCTGGACTGCACTCCGTGTCTGCTTCTCCCTGAAGTCTGGACTGCACCCCTCAAGGGTTCGCTACTGCCAGATGAGCCGTCGGCACGCGCAGATGCCATGAGCATCTACCAACAGGAGAGCCTACCCGCCTCCCTTGCCTGTTCCTGGCCTGCCTCTTCTGCTGATGCCTCACACTGGCCAAGAATTGGTCTCCGAGACCCTCTTCCCTCCAGATGAACTGGCCGGAACCTTGTGAATAGACCAGAGGACAGGTCAGCATGTAGGACGCATAGGCAACCAGAAGAGAACTGATCAGTACCCCGGCAAGGCTCACCCAAACTTCACTGTGCGCCGTGGATTCTCTTCAGGAGCCTGGCGTAGCACTGCAAATTGTGCAGACAATGAGAGTACCAAGCCATTCCTTCTATAGGAAATAGAATTAAGCTCCCACAAGCCTCTGCTCTTCACAGTTTTACAAACCAACCTACACAGTATCTGTTTTGTGCCCCACAGGTACTGACGAGGGTAAGCTAATTCAAAAACAGGAAATCTGCAAATTACCAAAATCGATGTGCTTCTCAAGTCAGCAGACACATCAGTAGAGAAACGGCCATGAGAACATCTCAGTGTATTCACCAGACACTTCCAGACATTTATCCTGCCTTAAGTGACTTAAGGGACTTGATGCAACGTCCTATGGGATGGATATTATTTTCTTCCTCTTCTTACAGATAAGCAAACTGAAGCAGAAGGGTTGAAACGTCGACATATATTCCTCGTGAGCTGTCTGTGCCACTTCTCAGATCATTTGTATCTAAAACCAGCCCTGATGTAACGTGGGGTTGATTGCAAAATCTACATGAATATTCAACGTGAAATGGAGAATTCAAAGAAATATTATGCTGGTGCAGTGGCAGCTGTGTCGAGTTGGCGGCCCCATCTGCAGCTCAGGAAGGTACAAAGGCACCCCTAGAGCTGAGAGCTTTGCTGGGGTGTGGGCTCTGCTGAGTGTTAATGTCTCACAGGACTTTCTGCTTGTTTTCCATTGGGCATTCCCGATTCTGAACCAGCAGCTAAGGAGCCTCTCTGCAGCAGGTACCGTCTAGCCAGGCTGCCCCTAAAGAGCAGTTGGTCCAGAGAGAAAAAAGCAAAAAATAGCCCCAGGAGCCTTACGGGAGCTTTGCATTCTTGTTTACCTTAGTGAGTCAGGCAGGCAGTCTTACCTATGTGGCTAAGTTCCTTCCTGTGAGTTGGGATAAAAAAGAGCCCACCGAGGAGCCCACTGGATCACCTGGTTCCTGGCCTCACTACCCCACTGGCACTTTTAGAGCTCTGTCTAGGTGAAGACTGAGCTTTCCCTCAGCCATCCACCTTGCTTTCGTCCTGCTCCTTGCCCCCTCTTGAAGCCTAGTCCAAATGTTTGATACTGCCAAGGGCTTGCGATGGAGAGATATCAGGACATGGGAATATTGAAGCCCAAGAGAGCTGATCTGGCTGTTGGGCCCTACTCACTCTGTCTCTGGGTAAGAGACCAGACCCCTGCCTGCTTAGCTCCTGGACCACTTCCCCATGGGAGCTCTCTCCAACACTGTCCAGCTGAGGGCAAGGGCACTGCATTACATTCCAAGAGGGCCAGGAAACCAAGTTCCTCCAGAGGTTCCATTCAAGCTTCAGGATCTGCTCCTCCCTGCATGTGTTTCAGAGATTCCTAACCCAACTCCAGGCTTTGCATACTGCACACACCCAGACAAGCACGACAGTGCAATGTTCCCTTCGAGGAGGACAAGGGATGCACCTAAAGGTGCTCATGGTGCTGGGCTATGAGAGAAGCATTGTGAAGTTCAGGGCTTCAAGCTTAATTTGTTCTGATTTCACAACGGGGCTTTCTCTTAACAGAACTAAAGTAGACTTGGAAGTTGATTCAAGAGGGCTGTGTTGCTGGCTTGGAGGAAAGAAAACAAGTCAAACCCCATGGAAGGCAGAGTGGACTGTGTGAGGAATGAAGGATTCAGCATGGCCCTGGGAGTTAACAGACAAAGTTAGGTGAGCATGGTGTTTTTTTTTCATTAGTGTCTGTTTGAAGTAAATGTTTACTATTTACACTCCTGGGTACCTGTACAGAATGCTTCTCAATTCCTCTGTTCATCCCTTCTCCCTCATCTCCCATATCTTGATCTCCTTCCCATTTGAGAAAGATCTAGGGGCACAAAATTACCAAGGGAGTGAGGGACACAGGAGAAGGGGCAAGAAGGACCTGTGTCTCAGGTCCAGGTGAAGCTTTGTGTGACCCTTGGATGCTGGTGCAGAAACTGCACCATGGATTTGCCCTGACCTGACACAGGAAGCCAGAGCAGCTGTCCTCACGTGCCGGCCACTTACTGCCACCTGGAGTCGAGGTCCTGATTCCCAAGGTGACTGCCCTAAGCTCAGGTGTTGAGCGTGAGTCTGGAAGTCCACATGCTCTCATGCTGGGCTAGGTGTTCCCACTGGGACAAGCATGCTCACCATGGTGTCTACTGCACAGGGCTTCTCATGATATCCCCAAACCGCATGTGGGAAACATGCACCTCATGCTGCTGGCTTCCCAGAGGGGGGCCCTTGTTTGGGACACAAATTTGCTTCATAAAGTCTTGTCCAAGTTTTATCTGGTTGCTCTTTAGCCTCACAAGCAGACTGAGTCCTTAGGAGGAAGGATCCTCTAGGTGCATCCTGCTTGACAAGGGGCAGACACAGCCTCGTTCTGGGTTTGCCATTCATGTGGCACTCTGATATCCCTGGGGAGTTCCTCAGGGTCCCAGAGGCACCAGGTTCATGATTCAAGTCAGGGACTTCAGAACTAGACTGCTGCCACCCTGGCGGTCTGAGCCAATGGAGATGCCCAGGAGAAAAACTGAGCTACTGTCTTTGAGTTCCTCTTGCTCTGTCCATAGCAAATTTTTCTTCTCCTCCTCACAGGCAGAAGGTGAGCATGGGAGTGCCAGGAAACCCAGCCCTGACCCAGACTTGGCCACATGTTGAGAGCTTCCGGGCAAGATGTTTCTCTGAGGATCAGCTTTCTCCTGCTTGTGTTGAAGTGACATAGAAAGCTCCAATAAGTCTGTGCAGTGTGACTTCTGAGACTTTTTTGTGTTTTGTTTGTATACGCCATCCTTCCTTCTCTGGTTCAGATGTGGTTTGTCCTCCAGGACTGCAGGTGAGAGTCCTGGTCCTTGGTATGGGGGTGTGATTGGAAGTCCCTAGGTTACCAGGGGCTGCCCTTGGAAGGAGTTAAGTGGTTATCATGGGCCCTGAATCTGTTCTTGCAAGAACCAGATGTTATGAGCCTGACGCCCGAATTGCTCCCTGTGGCTTCCTGCCTTGCACTCAAACCTCATTCCCACAATGTGTATTTCTTATGATGCTACCCACCACACGATCTTGGCCAGACCTGAGCAGATGCCAGCACCATGCTGTCAACTACCTGACTGTGAGTTCAATCAGCCTCTTTTCTTTATAAAAGAACCTAGCCTCAAGGATGTCATGGCAGTAATGAGAAACAGACTATTACACTACTCTTACTTTATTACTGAACAGCTAAACTGTTCTCCTGGCATCTGCATCAGCTCAGGTTGCCAGGGTGGCAGCAGTCGTGATTGTGAAGTCCCTGATTGATTGATTGATTTTATTAGTAAATGTTTGCAATGCATAATAATTACATCCACCTTGGTAAAGTAATACATACATATTTTGCATCTCAATCACTTGTATCCCCCTCTCCCTGCCTTTCCTTCTCCTCCTTCCCCAGGTTCCCCACGTAACTTTGGAGTCTACCTCCTTATTTCCTTTCATCTTTCATTTTTTGTTCTTTAACTGATTTATACTTTAGATCTCTCATTTTAAAGAAATCATGTGATATTTAACTTTATGTGCCTAGTTTGTTTCACTTAGTGCTGTGGTCTCAAGATCCTCCCACTTTTCTATAAACAACTCAAATTTATCCTTCTTTATGACTGAATGTATATACTACCATATTTTCTTTATATGGTCATCTATTGGTGGACATAAGCCACGTCCATAATTTAGCTGCTGTGACTTGTACTGCTATAAACATGGGTATGCATATTATCACTGTAATGTCATTTCTTTGAGTCTTTGAGTATTTAAGGAGACTTTGAGTCTTTAAGGAGAGGTAGAGCTGGGTCAAGTGGAATTTCTGTTTTTAGTTTTTTGAGGAATTTCCATATTGATTGCCACAGTGGCTGTACCAGTTTACACTCCACGAACTGTAGAAGGTTCCTTTCACCCCACAACCTTGCAAGCATTTGGTGCTGGGTTTTTTTTTTTTTTTTTTTTTTTTTTTTTTGAGGCCTCAATAATAGCCCTTTTATTGGAGTAGAACAGAATCTTGGTGTTGCTTTGATTTGCATTTCTGTAGTGGCCGAAGATGCTAAGCATTTTCTCACATACTTTTTGGCTGTTTGTACTTCTTCTGAGAAGTATCCATACATATCAATTGCCCACTTGTTCATTGGTTTTTTTTTTTTTTTTTAAATCGGTACCGGGGATCGAACTCACAACCGCACGCTTGTAGGACAGGTGCTTATGCCGCTGAGCTAAATCCCCAGCCCCGAATTGCCCATTTGTTATTGGATCTCTTATTTTGGGGATCTAATACTGGAGGGTTCTTTATATATTCTAGGAATTAGTCTTTTAGGAGTAGCTGGCAATTTTTTTCCCATTTTGTAGTTTGTCTCTTCATTTTGTTGGTTATTTCCTTTGCTGGGCAGAAGCTTTTAAATCTGTTATAGGCCCATTTGTTGGCTCTTGGTATTCTTTCCTGTGCAACCAGGGTTCTGTTTGGAAAGTCCTTGCCTATACCTATGTCTTCAAAACTTTACCCAAACTTTTTTTTCCAGCAGATTTAGTGTTTCTGCTTTAATATCTAGGTCTTTGACTCATTTTGATTTGATTTTAGAACAGAGTGAAAAATATGGACCTAGATTCAATTTACTCATAAATAACCAGTTTCCTTAGCATCATTTATTAAAGAGGCCATCCTTTCTCCAGTATATGCTTTTGGCCCCTTTGTCAAAGATCAGATGGCTGGATGCACCTGGGATTGTTCCTATACCCTCTATTCTCTTCCACTGATCTACATGTCTGTTTTTGTGTCAGTGCCATGTTGTTTTTATATCTGTAGCTTTGTAACATAATTTGAAATTTGGGATTGTGATGCCTCCTGGTTTGTTCTTATTGCTCAGATTGCTTTTGCTATTCTGCTTCTCTTTTAGTTCCACGTGAGTGTTAGAATTGTTTTTTCTAGTTCTATAAAAAATGATGAAGGTATTTGGATTGGAATTGCATTAAATGTATGATACATATATCATTTTTGGGAAAAGGCATTTTGACAACATTGGTTTTGCCTACCCAGTAATATGGGCTGTCTTTACATTTTCTGTCTGTGTTTTTGTTTTGAGACAGGGTCTCGCTGTATGGTTTATGCTGGTCTTGAATTCATTATGTAGACCAGGATGGCCTCAAACTCATGGTGATCTTTTTGCCTCAATTTCCTGAGTGCTGTATTACAGATGTGTGCTACTTGTAGTAGAGGGCTTTCACTTATTGGGTTAGGTTGATTTCTAAGTATTTAAGTTTTTTCATGCTGTTGTCAATGGGTTTGTTTTCCATTATTCTTGGTGAGTTCATCGTTGGTGCACGAGACTACTACAGATATTTGTATATAGTTTTTTATCCCGCTACATTGCTGAATTTGTTTATTAATAAGTTCTAACACTCTTCTGGCAGAGCATTTGGATCTTCTATCTAATCTAGAACTTAAAACAATCTCCCCTTTTCCACAAGCAGACCAACAACAAAACAGGCCTCTCAGTAGCCAACCAACCTCACCGATTAAACATCACTTATAAAAAGACACATGTTACTCAAGATTATTGATTCTTATATTTTTTAGATAGCTCAAAAAATGTGTTCATCTGGTTTTCAAAAGTAAGTTGGAGTATGTGCTCCATTTTAGAAAAATATTCACTCACAAAAAGGTTAAATTTAAGAGGAGAACAAGAGTCTGGAAATATGTATTCTTTTAAATACCCTTTGCTTTCTCAAAACTCATATCTAGAACATCATTTCTGATACTTCTGGAACCCTAACATTTTATTTCCAAATTGATTCATTTGAGGGAAAATAACAGAGTGAAAGAAACTAAATAGTGTCTACGACATTGTTAGAAAATGTGACCATGGTCTTCACACAAATCGTCAGAAAGAGCTGCACACGAGAGCATTTTCCCTGGTGTTGTGTGGCATTCAGGTACTGTGCGCCGTACCTTGCACTCTGGGCCTAGCAGTATGTGGGTTTGAAACACCATCAAGGAATACTTGAACGTCCTTTTTCAAATGAAACTGCAGTAAAAACGTTTTGTTTTGCAAACACGTTAATTTTGGGAGGATTTCCACTGGATGCCAGTGGAGCATCTTTATCCTGTCCTTACACAGTCTCAGAAAAAATGCTGTATGGATGAGGCTGATAAACCAACTTCCTTCTTACCCCGTCATTGGCATGTGGTCATCTGTGGACATACAGAGGAGCTCACTGAAGTACAGGATGGTACAGGAGATAGTCACAAGTACAACGTGTCAGATGCCTGCCCAGTCCGAGTGACAGGATGGTAGACAAATATAGCTCCTGCCTTGCAGGAGCAAATGAGATACAGTATAACAAATGTTCCCAGAGGCAAAAGAACAGGACGCTAGAAACATACAGGACAGGACACTAGCTGGTTCAGTCTTGAGGGTATTAAAGGTTTCTTGAATAAAGTAGTATTTTAAGTGGGAATTAAAGGTTAACCACTAACACAGGGCCTCACTGTAAAAATAGTTTTTAAAAAAATTTACCCTCTTTCTACATTCTCAGTGCAAAACAATCTATAACCTCCAATGTATTTTTAAAATCATATAATCTAGTCTGGTGGTGCATGCCTGTTACATCAGCTACTCAGAAAGCCGAGCCTAAAGGATCCCTTGCATCTATGTGCTCAAGGTCATTCTGGGCAACAAAGCAAAACCCCACGTCAAAACAGAAAAAGGTACATTTCCTATATTCTCTACCTTGTTTACAGTATACATAATAAAATAATGTAAATAACTGGGTGGTAGATCAGGTATAAATTCTATATTTGCAGGCAAAGGGGAAAACAACGTTGCAAGCTTCTATTCGCTTCTCTTATACTTGGCCCACTGTTTACTTCCAGAGTGGCCTCCTAACCACCGTGGGGCAGTACGCTGCTCTCCTCACGTGGTCCCTATCACCAAAGCAATGGCCACTGATGTATCTCATCGACACTGAGTTTCAGTTATGCGATGATTCCATTAATACAGAATACATTAATACAGAATTAATTAATACAGAATTTTCTGTCATATCCATTGGGCAATGTCATTGAGAAATGGCTATTTGATTAAAACGTCTAAACTCGAATCATCTGTAATCTCTACCTGGCTTGGAAGTTCATGCCAGTATCAGTTTTTAAAAATTCTTTTCCATTTTCCTTATTTAGCCTTTGTAGAACAATGGACATTTTATTCTCAATCTTCCTGGCCCTAGATACGAATCTGGGGATGCTTGTTTTACGATGCCTTTGATTTTTTCTTAGTCTTTAAAAACAACAATAAAAATACACTGTTCTGGCATAAATTTATCAAAATAGTATTTAGCAATTGCATGGGCAATGCTGAGTAACTCCCACTGTTACTTTGATGATTAACTGGAGACCCAGGCTAGGACTGAACAACCAATTGTCTCAGGGAAACCGGGAACTTCTGGGTGACAGTTCACCCAGGAGTTCACAGTGGAAGAGCAGAAAACAGCTTGGAAACTGCCTCCCAGCCAGACCCACAGGACCGTATGAGGGGATGGCGAGGACACAGGCGGAAATCCAAAGTGGCTTGCAGTGATTGCCTTCATTTTATTTTTGAGAAAAAATCTTTTAGACTTCTCATTGTTTTGAGAGAATTACACATTTATTTTGGACCCATTAGAAATTTAGGAATTCCTTTCCTGATAAACAGACACGTGGATCAAAGGTGGGTGAACAGGTTCTTACACCAACCACCTGCATGGCTTTGACTATGGACAGATAGTACACAGAACTCTGAGGCCCATGCTGTTTTCATGATTCTAGACCCAATGGCATTTGCCACCTGCATGCTCTGGGATGAAGTCCATGTGTCTGTGTCACCCTCTCCCATCCAACCCATTCCTTCTCTTCTGCGCCCCACATTCGTGCCAGAAATCGGGGAGCTTTGACTCACCTCCCCTCTTATCAGTTCTACCCACCAGCTCCGAAACCTATTTTTTATGGTATTTTATCACTTATACCCATGTGAACTCTTGCTTGCATTTCTAGAAGTATAGACAAAGCAATCATTCTTAAGAGCCAATCTTTTTTTAAATTTCTGGTTTGTTTTATTAATAACTATTAGCATACATTAAACAATGTGATGGGTTTGTGATGGTTTACATGTATTTACATGTAAATCACATAACTGTATCACCCCACCTCCCTAACCCTCTCTTAATCTCTACCCTTCCCTATTACCTTTCTCTTCCCTTTTATTTTTATGTTATCTTTTTTCTTTATTTCTAGATTCTGCATGCAAGAGAAAATATAGTATGCTTGTCTTTTAAGTCTGGCTTATTTGATTAACATAATGATCTCTAGTTCCATACATTTTCCAGGAAATTATATGATTTGTTGTTTTTTTATGGCTGAAAAATACTCCATTTGCATGTATACCACATTTCCCATCGGTAGTCATCTAGATCGGATCTACATTGTCGCTATTGTGACCAGCACTGTGATGGACACGGGTATACAAGTATCTCTATTGTATGCAGACTTTGATTGTTTCAAGTGTTTACTCAGCAGTGGCATAGTAGATCATATTGTAGTTCTGTTTATTTAGTTTTTATTAAGAACTTCATACAGATTTACATAGTGGCTGAGCTAATTCACATTCCTACCAAAAATGTACTATTTCTCTGAAGATGTCTCTTGAGTTCTTTTGCCCATTTATTGATTGGATTATCTGTTCTTTTGGTGTTAGTGATTTTGAATCTAATTTTATCATTTCATTGCTCTGAAGCATTATACTTGCTAACACACTGCTCTTAGGATAAAGCATGAAATCTCATAGCAGGACATGTATCACCTTCACAATTTGACCCCAATTACCTCTGTCCACTTACCTTTCGCAAATACTATCTTCATTTCATGTTCATATGTATTAGTACAGATTAGGTCTATATAGCAATAATAAATAAAGTTTCAGAGATTTAACAAGTGATATTAATATCTTGGTCATGTCAAATCTGGCATAAGTTGAATAACTCCCTAGGGTGACTGTCTTTCCTGGGATCCTTAAGTGATCGAGGATCCTTTGATATGTAGTTCTTCATGTCAACACACAGCATCTATCTTAACTGCCCCAGGGGAAGACAGAGACTAGAGAATCCACAGGAAACTTTTTACCATCTCTCCCAGGAAGTGACACATTACATTCACTCTCTTCATTGGCCAGAGTGTGAACTGCATGGCTCTGCCTGAATATAAGAAGGCTGGGAGCTGTGACCTGGGGTCCAGGAAGGCAGGATGTCCAAGTGATTGAGTGAACCTACAGCATGGTCTGCCACACCAACACAATTAGGAAGTGTGATGCTGCCAGTTAAGAAGGCTGTGGGGTCTACAGGACATCAGAGAGTAAACCAATATATGCATTAGGGAAGTTCTAGGAAGAACAGAGAAAGATAAAGGGGCTGAAAGCTTATTTAAAGAAATTATTCTGGAAAACTCCTCAAGTATAGAGAGACAAGTAAACATCCATATTCACGAAGTTCAAGAAAGTCCAAATAGATTGCTCATAAAGGTATTTTTCACTGAGACACATTATGACAAAATCATCAAAAGTCAAAAACAGAAAATGTTGAAAACAGTAGAAAAAGTCTTGCAAAAGGAACCCTGTAAGAATGTCAGAAGATTTCTCAGCAGAAACAGTGCAGGCCAGGAAACATGGGACGGTAGCTTCAAAATGCAGAAAACAAAAGCTGCCAACCAAGAATAATATACTTTGCAAAACTGCCCTTTAGAAATGAAGAAGAGATAAAGAATTCATAGATGGACAAAAGCTGAAGGCATTCCCCACCAATATACCTACCCTATACTAGTTGTTAGAGAAAAGAAAGGAAGCTGATAGCAACATGAAAACATGAATGGGTAAAACTTACTGGGAAAGGTAAGTATACAGAACAATTTAGAAGACTGTATTACTACAAAGACGAAGTATAAACTTTGAACTTTAGTATAAAGTTTAAAAACATGAAAATATCAAAATAACTGTAAAGGCTATAATTTTAAATATATATCAAATATAAAAATATGCAAACTGTGTCCTTAACACAAAATAGGGACCTGAGAAAAGTAAAAGTGAACATAGTTTGAATGCAATTAAAATATGTCATCAATTTAAAATAGACTCATAAGACTCTTCATGTAAGAAACTTGGTAGTCACAAAAAAAACCCCTAAAAGTTGGTGTTTTAAAAAGGTAAGCAGAATGACAAACATTTTAACAGGAATAAGAAAAGAAAGAACATTCAAATAACTACAATTATTAATGAAAAAGGAGACTTTATAATTGATGTCATAGAAATACAAAAACATCATGAGAGCTTACCATAAACAGTTATATGCTACAAAGTTGAGAATCTAGAATAAATGGGTAATTTCTAAAAACATATTCCTTCCAACACTGAGTCAAGAAGAAGGAGGAAATGCAAATAAATCAATAATGAGTAAGAAAATTGAAATAGTAATCTAAAGTCTCCCAAAACTGAAGAGCCCAGCACCAGAAAGCTTTGCCAAAAACAAAACAAAATAAAAATTCCTGAAGATTAGACTTCCACATTTATTGTATGAAGCTACCAAAACCAGTAAAGAACACTACAAGAAAATTACAGACTAATGTTCTTAATCTATAAATGCAGAAATCCTCAACAAAATTCTAGCTCACTGAATTTAATAACACATTAAAAGTATAATACAGCATGGTCCTTTGGAATTTATTCCTGGGATGCAGGGCGTTTCCACACATGCAGATGAGTAAATGTGATACACTCAGACTGAAGGATCCAGCCCCTGAGCCTTGGCAGGACACAGGCCCTGGTATCCCTCCTGCCCTTCTCTGGCCATGAAGAGCAGCAAGACTGTTGCTCTGTGGCTGCCCCAACATGGAGACCTGGAGCAGAAGCAGCTTTGGAAATCTCTAGGTGTTTAACTCACTACCCTCTGTGTCCTCTTCCTGAACTGATCCTGCCTCAGTCTCTCCAATTCAATGTCCCACCCTGGTGAACCGCCAAAAACGCCATCCAGCTGCCGTCTCTGCAGGTATTATGAACCGCGACAGCTGCTACAATATGCCACAAACAGCTCCGAGGCCCCCACTGCCTCCCACACCCCAGGCCGGTCTAAGGAACAGCATGTCATCAGATGGTCTCTGCAGCTGTGTGTGCGTGCACTTCTCCAGCCCAGCTGCCATGTAGCTGGGCACACAGCTTAGACTGGTAGCATCACACTTCTAGATTTCAAATTGTACTACATATGCAAAAGTCAGTTCAAAATGGATCAAAGACTTTAATGACATATAACAATAAAACTCCTAAAAGAAAACATAGAGACTAGCTCTTTGCATTTATCTGAGCCATAGTTTTAGAAAGCAATAGCTAACAAAAGCAATATCTTATAGAATCCATACAACTCAGTAGCAAAAGTCAGTAATAAATAAAAATAATAATAATAATCTGATTTTAAAGTGAGCAAAAAACCCAAGAGACATTTTTAGAAAGAAAACCCAACAGGTGTAAGAAAGCTTGTTCAATATCACTCATCATCAAGGAAGTGCAAATCAAAACCACAAGAGGCAGAACAGTGCTCCATGACCTGTGGTTTTGGTCTCCAGTATCAGTAACCTATAATTCACTGTGATCTGAAAATATTACATAGACAATTCCAGAAACAAACAATTCATATGATTTAACTGCACCACTCTGACTAGCATGAGGAACTCTTGCTCCATCCCACCGAGAACGTAAACCACACTTTGGTGTAGCGTATTCATGTGGTTTATACCACCTGCCCATCAGTCACCAGGCAGCCATTTCGGCTGTCAGCTTGACTGTTGTATGTTCCCGTACTTGTGTCCAAGTAACACTTATTTTTCTTAATAATGGCCTCTGCATGCCAGAGTAGGGATGCTAGCAATTCAGACATGCCAAAGAGGAGTTATAAAGTGTTTCCTCTACATGAAAGGTGAAGGTTTTAACTTGATAAGGAAGGTAGGAAAAAGTCACATGCTAAAGTTGCCAAGATCTGTGGCAAAAGCAAATCTGTGAAACTGCAAAGACAGACAGAAATGGTGCTAGTTTTATTGTCACGTCTCAAACTGCAAAAGCTATGGTCACACTGCGTGATAGTGGGTAACCTGGGGAAGGTATGGTATACTCAGGGCAAAATGGGGTGCACAGGGGTCAGTACTCTGTGATGTCCAGCACAGGGGTCAGTACTCTGTGATGTCCAGTGCAGTATCCACTGGGAACTGCAGGACATGCCTCTTCTGCACAAGCACAGACTGTTCACACCTAAGAAGACGCTTATTACCAAGCAGACAAGAGATAAACATTAGTGAGGATTTGGAGAAAAGCAAACCTTTATATACTCTTGGGAGGAACATAAAATTTGTATATGCATTATGCAAAACAGTATGGAAAACTACTCATATACTGAGGTTCATATACCATACTTAAATATATCTAACTGCAATGTTTGTCTTTTCCACCCATTTGTATGGGTTAAAAATATTTTTTAAAGTGTCATAAGAAAACAACCTAATATACAGAATCCACCAAAAAAATGTATATACACTTTGGCCTCTACAGTTACAAGAGGTACTCCAAGTGGTGGCCATTAGCTTCCAGACACTATTATTACAGCAAACTTCTGTTTGGGTAACCTTGGTCACTGAGGCTGCCACACATGCATTTTCAATTTCTTCTCTAAAGGGCGGCAGTACAGTGGGTTTTCTGAGATATATGATGTTCTCTAGGGTCCATATGAGGGTAACACCATCTGTTGAAAAAAACACCATACTATTTTTCTTTGCCTGAAATGTGTCTACATTGTTTTTGGTGGACTCTGTATATAGATGTTTCCAGATTGCCTATAATGCAGGAAAACCGGAAAGGTATAACGGTATGAGTTTAAAGAAGTCGTAAAATACGATGCTGTCAATAAACCATGAGGCCTAGGCTTATAATCATTTCTAAGGAAATTCTCCAGTCTGTGTGAATGAGTATTTATACGAGGGTATGTATGCATGGGCAAAACTACAAAGACATAATGAGAATGTTCTCAGAAGTAATTGTTTTGCAGTTATGGGATAAAAGGCGATTTTTGCTTCTTCCTTATAACTTTATATGCATTCTGAATTTTTTCTGCATTATGCCTGTATTACCTTAATAATTAGAGAAATAAATCCTATCAAAACTTTTAAAATGGTGTTGACACTTTAAAAGTCTTGGGTATATGTAACAATAAAAGGTAAAAATTTATGTGACTTTTTGAAAGATAAAACAAAACTTGAAACAAGTTGTAGAGTGGACTGAGGGCAGACACAACTCAGAGTCCAGTGCCAGGCCAGGCTGAAGAGGCCATCTGCTGGTCTGTCCATGCCATCCCATGCAAAGGGACCCAGCTCAGTAGCTGATACCACCAGCCACCCTGTAACCACAGATACTTCCGGCTCTTTGCCAGGGCCTGGTCACGGTGGCTTCTCTTTAGCGGCTGTCAACTGACGCAAGCACCATGCTAATTGCTCAAAAGAAATCAAATGTAAATTGCTGGCTTGTTTCATGGATGCCTTTCTGTGAACTTCAGTTACTGTTTATCTCCCAAGCAAATTACTAACACATATTTTGGGCATTAAGAAAAGCCTGGGGTTTTCCATTGTTTGATAAATTCCCACTGTGACAGCTGATGGTGTATATAAAATGGCAATTTGTGAATTTATATAAATAAACACATATAAAAAGAGGTAGTGTAGAATGGTGAAGGTCATGGGCATGGATAGAGCCCATCTGGGTTAAAATCCCAGCTCTGCTCATTATAAAGTGCTGGCACTAGACAAGGTCTTAGCTTTTCTGCTCCCTT